CCCGATTAACCCAAGTACGCTCTGCTAGAGCGTCCTTCGGTTGAATCCGACACAGGGAGACAGATGACAATATTACAATATACTAAAATTTCCACAACAAGGTGAGGCTGGGAGGGGGGCTGACCTCTCCGGGGAAGACAGTAAATCTGCCTTAGATCTGAAAGCTTGCTGGAACTGTGTCTGAGCGTGTGAAAAAAGGATCCAATTCTTTGTGCCAATGCTCGTGTAGCAGATGATTTAGGTGGCTGCTTTTTCTTTCTCATCGCTGATGTGATCACTGATTACGGCCGTGTAGCTGGGTGATGTCGGAAGGTTTCAGGAGCCACGCTGAGCCGAGGCTCACGCCGCCATTAGCACGCCACGCTCCCCACTGGAAGCGAAAAGTCCCAAATTTTGATTTTCAAGTTGCAATTTACTGACTTTTTGGGTAAGGCAATCAAGTCTCTGAGTTAGGGCCACAACATGTGCTGTAACATTTGCTGTTGTAATGACAACAGACAATTATAATGGAACTGAATAGAAGGTTGATTTTCAACTGCTGATGCATATGCTAATTACCTGAACACAGAGCGAGAGAGTGATTATATTACATCATAAGCCATTAGTACAGGATCCACTAGTAAAACAGTCTGTTCTTAGATAAAGATGAGGAGTTCCAACCAGCAGTTTATGAGCGAATACCAATGTTCAACATGCATTCCACTACAGTCCAGCTATTTGGCATATGATTCAATAACATAAACAGTAGAAGTTGACTTCACTTCATAAATGCATTTTTATAAAAGGCAGTAATGAGTAAAAAGTACTTGCGGTTTTGCAAACAGGCTTCACTTGCGCTGGATGTACAACATGAGGGAGTGCTCATATCCTGTATAGGGAGGAAGGATATGGAGGCAAGGGTAGCATACGCACAGCAAATGAGTAGACAATGCATCCTATGTGATACACTTCCTGATTTTGAAAAGGAGAGCGGATAGCAGACTTGAAAGGAGTTGTAATGAATGTGAGTGAATCAGATGCTTATTATCTGCCAGGATGGAGAGTGGAATGAGATTCCAGTCAAGGTGAATGTAGTGAATTGCCGGGAAGGAGAGTGAAACAGTCACGCTGGCAAGCTGTCTGAAGTACACCAGCTCAGTGCCAGCACATTGCTTGAACACTGGGGCAACTGAACTTCCTGGCTTAAGCCAGCTGGGGAGGATGAGCTGGATGACGCCTCAGGCTCTGACAGGCAGGGAGGCTGCGCTGAACATCAGAGCTGGAGCAAGGACAGGTAAGTATGTTACACTACTACTCCACAGACTGGAGCATGCCTGTGCTGCACTTCCCTAATTAGCCAAGAAGACAGGCCAGGATCTAAGAAGGAGCCAGCCACATGGACAAACTATTGGCAGCTGTCCAAAGAAGGTGACTTGGTTCCACACCTGGTCAGGGAGTCAGTGAGATATTTGTTGTGTCTGTGTTTACACACCCCTGTATCATTATGACAGACACATGAAGACATTTTTTTACTGCTTTACAAAAGTTGAGCTTCTTTTGTTCTTGATTCAGGTCTTATGATTTTAAAAATGTCTTATTTAATGTTTCAACTTATGTATGGTTGTTAAACAATTGGGGGCTTTTAAACCATGTTTTTGAAAGAAAGGGTGCTATTTTTCTGAAACTTTAGTGATGCATGAAGTGGTGGTAGGAGAGCAAGCATTTGACTCATCCAATGGTTGACTAATGACAGCGGTTGGGGAGAGCAGATGCAGCAGATTTTCAATACACAGGGCTGCCAGAAAGATAAATATATTGCTTCTTCTTTTACAGGAGACCTATTGAGTAAAAGTGACTCTATAGTGACAACATCACTTTAAAGAGCATAATTTTGGGAACACAAATTAATATCACATTTATAAAGCCTCAACACATTTTATTATTCTCATACTTCTTTTAAATTTGATAAAGTATATTTCCAAACACCACACATGAAGGCCAAAGTACAAGTACTTTGTAAAGTTTCATTAATTTGTTGTCCTATTCAGCAAACTGTTGTGTTTTGTGGTTGAATTCTACTTATTCAGAGAATATGCAAAAGGTATCTTTCAGGAAAAAAATATGTTTATATGTTTGTAATTAAATCTATTGTCTCGTACAATTACTTACAAGTATACAGTTATGTATAAAACCGCTCAGTTGTTTTCCCAGGCAACTTGCCTGCAATGTCAGACATTTGAATGAGATAAGTCATTGTTTATGACTTGGTCTTCGAAATTCGTCCAATAACGAATTTCGGAAAATCGGGAATTTCGGATTCGTTTGCATTCGTCTTAGCTGTAATTCGGAATTCGGATGCATCCGAATTTCCGAAAATTCGTCCAAAACGAATTTCGGAACGAACCGAATCGCACATGTCTAGTCTATATGACATGGTGTATTAAGGAGGAAAAAGGCACCTAATTGTTTAATGTTTATTGGACATAGAGGATACAAACAGGCCTTTATATGTGGTGTTTTGAATATGTTATTCATTTTAAAACAAGCATGAGGATAATAACATTTAGGGGGTTATTCACTTATCTGCCAAAGGCAGCTGAGTGAATAACCCAGTCGAAGTGAAGTGAGCCGAACACTGTTCGGCTATTCACTTCAGTCTTGTACGGCCGATTTCAGCCGTACATCGGCTAAAAATAAGCCATACAGCGGCTGCCTTCAGCTCAGCCGCACATGAGCTGCATGTTCGGCTGAGCTGAAGTGCAGAAGGAGTTCGACTCAGCCAATCCAACATCTGGATCGGCTGAGCCGAAGCTCCCGCAGCTCACTCGCTGCTGTTCGCCCCTATTCTCATAGGTGAATGAATATACGGAGGGGAGGGTCCCTGACAGTGCCATCACTTCTATGATCAAGGTCTGGCTCCTCAGAGAATGAAAGGGACGGAATATATTGTGGTGGAGCTACTGGGGCTGAATAGCTTCAGTAGCCAGGAAGAGAATTTATGGGTGTACCCACTCAGTTTTCTTAATGGACAGCTGGTGGTTGGTACATTGTTATGGAGTCATGATACACCCCTCTTACGGGGGGGTGTTTGGCACTTAGATGGCAGTGAGTTTTATTTTTGTTGCACTTTTTGAAGTGTTATGCATGTGAAGTGTCGATATTGTAGGTGGGGAATGAAGGGTACTTTGGGCTTGCACTCAGTCAAGTGAAGCTCCAGTTTTGAGGAAAATAAAAGGTGAATTTTTTTCTTTTTTTAGTTTTTTAGGAAATTCTAGCTGCATGTTTAAATGTAAAGATAAATGGTAATAATTAGGGCTGCGGAAATTAACAATTAATTCCGCGATTAATGGTTACTTAGGCCAATGTAGTTGGATCTGTATGTGCGTTATAATTAATCAAAATCAATCGATTTAAAAAAATGTTGATTAATCAAACACGAACATTTTAATCATTACCAGCCCTAGAAAAAAATTGAAAAATAATTTTAAAAATGTAAAAAAATAGGAAAAATAAAAATAGTTTAAATTTTAAAAAAAATGCTGCATGCCGACCCGACTGCATGTGATGGACTAATGATGTATAATAAAGCATCTGACAGATACTGGCAAAATAAAATCAATTGGGCGGAGATTGACAGCTAGCTCTGCCCAACTGTTTCCTGATTTCACCCGTACATCGGCTGCCTTCGGTCAGCCGAACATGCTCTGCATTTTCGGATGCACGAAGTGCAGAAGGAGTTCGACTCAGCCAGTCCAACATCTGGATTGGCTGAGCCGAAGCTCAGGCAGCTCACTCGCTACCGTTTGCCCCTATTCTCAACTATTCTGCTCGGTACCCCTGAGGTAAAAAGCAGAATAGAAAGAGTGAAATGAATTAGAAAAAGTTGAAAAATAATTACAAAAATTTAAGAAAATAGGAACATTTAAAAAAAAAAGGAAAATAGTTTAAAGAAAAGGAAAAAAAAGAAAATTTAGAATAATGTTTTTTAAACGCCGGCAAAGATGCAGGCAAAATAAAAACAATTGGGTGGAGCTAGCAGGGACAGCTAGCTCTGCCCAACTGTTTCCTATTGGCCTGGACCTGCCAGAGTCTTCTAGCAGGTCCCGGCCAATGAACAACTGGGTGGAGCAGTCCGTGACATTACGGCCGGCTCCGCCCAGTTGTTATTGTTTAATGACAGATCAGCGTCCCCGGTCATTTGGTCATTGTAAATAGCCCGTACAGCAGCCCTTCGGTTCGACAGAACCGAAGGGCTCAGGCGGCGAAGGATCAGCCGAAGCTACGGCTGGATCCTTCGGCTATTTAGTGAATAACCCCCTTGGATATTTCATATATGTGTTCATTTGTGTGGCCCATAAAGAGGTCCATTTAAAGTCTACTTCCAGTTTTGACTAATTTTTAGGAATGTTAGAATTTGGATCTGGACCCCTTAAGGGATTTTTTCTCACTGACAGACACTAAGGCCCTGTTCACATGATTTTCAGGTCCGGATCAGGTGCGGATCTGCAGACGCGGTGCTATTTTTTTTTTTTTTGTGCTGGAGTGGGGCTGTCAGTATGTTAGCTGCAGTGCAGTGCGTTTTTGACGCATTTTAGACGCGTTTTGCGTTTCCAGTCCGTTTCCTGACCTACAAAATGTGACATGCAGTATTTTTTCTGTCGTAACCTGAACGGACTGCGCACGTGAGAACACATAGGAATACATTAGGATGCATTTTTAGTGCAGGAGTATACGGATCAGGTCAGCACAGAAAACGAACGTTGTGTGAACAGGCCCTTAACACTACTGTCTAATTTATACATTTGTCAAGCCATTCTTTTGACACATACACCTCTGCTAGTCAGTAGGATCACTCCATTTCTTCCAATTAGCATTACTGCTTCCTAGGTCAGTTTTGCAGAATTACAGATCTATTATAAAGTAATATAGTAAGCATATATTTCAACTGTGTATTTAGCTGTATGCCTGGAGTTTCATATTACCAAACATGCTAATATTAATACTGTTTTTTTTCTTTGAAGTCCTTTTAGTGGTCTCATTAAAGATGTAAAAAGAAAAGCCCAATGGTATTGGAGTGATTTTTATGATGCACTCAACATACAATGTCTTTCAGCAATTTTGTTTATCTATCTGGCAACTGTAACAAATGCTATTACTTTCGGTGGCATGTTGGGAGATGCTACTAATAACATGCAGGTATGTACATACTGCTTCTATTGTAATATGATTCACATTACTGCTCATTAGTCATTCCAAACCAATTTCTGCAAGCTGGCATGTCTCATGCTATCTAAACTGTCAAATTTTAGTTAATTTCTACTGTCTATATGGTTTTCATGATGCATGACAACATTAAAGCAGCACTTTAAGCAGATGTAAAACACACACGTATGCATATTTGTATTAATTATTACATAGTTAAATGTATTTTTTGAATGCAAACATGTTAAGTACCCGAATTTGATCGCGCATTATCCTCTTGCAGCCCTCAAACTGGGAAAAGGATAAGAAGTGCAAGGAGTCTATCAATTTTGCTGCTGTGCTCTGTTGCTACCAAAGTACATGCTGATATGAGGAAAGAAGAGAGTGACACAGAGACGTGTTCATCACTCTGCTGCTTCTACTTTTACTATTCAGTCACAGATTGGGGAAGGGTGTAATTAGCTGTTTGAATTCAGCTTTAAGATCAAGCAATTTTTATACAGTATGTACACTGAGTGGCCAGATTATTATGACCACCCCATCAGTACTTTGGTCGGCCACGAGATGACTCCACGAGATGACTTTGTTGGGCCGCCTCGTGACTCCACAAGATGTTGAAAGGTGATGCGTGGAATCTGACACTGCACTGTTGCCCTTCTGTTGTCTTGTACCAGTCTTGCCACTCTCCGTTCTGCCCTAACATTGACTAGTCACTGACAGCCACAATTCGCACGTTCAGACACAGATTTTCGGCTGACAGTCCAGTCTTTAAACACTTTAACAACAGCTGCTCTTGAACATTTAACGCATTCTGCTGTTTTGCCGATAGTCGCTCCATGGCTCCGAGCGCCAACAATCATCCCACGTTCATAGGCTGTTAAATCGCGTTGTTTACCCATATCTTCAGAAAAAAATCACTTCTACTGTTGTGGTAAACAACCTGGTTCCCTATTTATAATGGTCTGGCCACTCAGTGTATGTATAAACATCTTTATGAAGAACAGATATGATAATGTGAAAAAAAAGAAAGTACTGAAGTCAGAGAAAACCAGGCATCTATTCATCTCAGAAGGTTGTCAGCAATAGCAGCCCTCATATTTCTCTTACTAATGGTTTCCTATAGGTTGTTAAGGCATAAGGTACAGTTTACATTATATATTCACTTTGTATATATTTTTTACTGTGCACATTCTTGTTAGTAGTGCCGAAAGCAATAAAGTTATTTTCCTTGATTTTTCAAAGGAAAACCAATGAAACCCTAAACATATTGCAGGAAATTGTTTTGAAACAATCAACATATACTAGAATTATTTAAAAAATGTAATTAATAGATTGGTAGAAAAAAAATTCCTACACAGGGGTTCTTCACAGTTAGAGCGGTTAGGGTCTGGAACTCTCTGCCTGCAGGAAGTAATTTCAGCGAAGAGTGTGGAATCATTCAAGAAACTCCTGGACGAGTTTCTTGGAGACCGTAACATAAAGGGGTACAAGTACTCTTAAGAGCAAAATCACACATGGACGTATATACACACACACATCTGCTCAAACATAAATGCACACACGCAATAGGTTGAACTTGATGGACCTGTGTCTTTATTCAACCTCAAATACTATGTAACTATGTAACTATGGAATATAGGGGACAACAGCAACATGTATCTGTATATATTGTGGGGGACTAGTCTCATGACAGAGACAAACTCCCTGTTTCTTCAACAAAAATGGCAAACTTTATTCAGGACTGCAGTAAACATACAGATGAAAGGCATTCAGCCAACACAAAATTGTCATCAAGATGCCCTCCTTACCATCTTGTCTTAAATTGTATTGTGACTGTAATGTCTTCCTTATATTGTAAAGCGCTGTGCAAACTATTGGCGCTATATAAATCCTGTATAATAATAATAAACAACATAAGGTTCTGCTCCACTCATCCTTACTCAGTCCATGAGCTCGGCATTTTAGGCTGGGTCCGTATCCAGATTCCTGTCCTGCTGACAGGTTTAGATCCAAAAGCACATGCTTGCTGCATTCCGCCCACTGTCTCTTTTCCTCTGAGACACACACCTTGTGTGCCTGCCTTTTTCAGCCTTTCCAAATCCTACAGCCTCCTGCTGTTCCTTGTGTAGCTCTACCACACCACCTGGCTTGGACCTTGTGTGCCACCAGCACACATACTCTACTGGTTTGGCCCTTGGGTGCCTCCAGCACACGCACACACTGCCCTGCTGGGTCCAGCTGCACCCTAATGACCTGTGCAGTCACTACCAAATTACAGTCCACAGAATCCGGAGCCTTTCTCATTCAGAGCTTTATCAGACTTCTAGTAAACCAGCCCCAGAATGGGATTTACCTTCAGATCTCTGCTGGCATTACCATAGATCCTATATCTAAGAATCCGTGGGGAAACATATCTTTCATCCATCGCTTTTCCTGCCATCCTGGCAGGTTTTACAGGCACTCTGTTACAATATGCTTCCTGAAAGCCTTTCAAAAAGAAAAATGTAATAAAATCTCCTGTCAATAGAAGCCTCTAAATAACTACATCTTCATCAAGTTCCAATTTAATTGTCATCAGATGCTACAGTAGGCTTTATCATTCAACACTCTCTACCACGCTATGGTTCCATTTGCCAGCCCTACATCACTACAGGACATCACTACAAGTCCAAACTCCATTGTCTTTAAGCACAGACTTTTCAAGCTCTGGGCGTGATGGATACCTGGCCCCATAATGAGCTCAATGGTTCCTTATAGCACACTCCCCATGTCAAGGGCATGTGTCCTGGTGGTATGGTATGCCATACCAGGAGGGGGGCACTCTTCTCATTCACTAAAGGGTTAAATGAAAAGTAAATAAACAAACTTTTGAAAAATTCCTTAAATTGAGCAACAAACATAGAGGCAGTTTTTGACAAGTCTTTTATAAAAAAAAAAAAGGACCCATCAATGTAATGCAATGTCAATCACGATGAACGATGCCCGACGACCTGTCTAAACCCGACGAAGACTCCCTGCAAAATGACAGCTCCGGCTCGAATGTAAACAAATGGGCACAGCGATCTGTGACGTCACTGGGCTTGTTCTGCCCATTTGACATTCTGAGCGGTCATATAACACAAGCAGTCTTTCCGAATGGCATTCGGGAGCTCCCAAATGCTATTTGTGATCTCCCAAATGCTATTTGCATCTGGGAGCCGAGGTATCATATGAATAGTATTCTGACACCTAGGCTCCCAGACCTGGGGCAAGCACCCTCCCCATGTGGCCTGGTGTGGTGCAGGGGGGAGGGGGGCGCCGCCTCTTCCTGCCCTGCCAGGCCAGTGCCCAGATTAAGGGTCTGGTTTGGATTTTTTTTCCGTTTTCTTTGGCGTTGGGGACCCCCCTAAAATCTCTAACAGACCTAAAGGATCTGGTTTGACCCTTTTTTCCTAAATTGGAGGTCCCCATTAACATTCCTACCGACCAGGGTCTGGTATTACAAAAAAATAAATAATGAAAAATCCGAAACTAAACAAATTTTTTGTGAGCGCACATGTCTAATTCAGAGGCTTCTGTTGCATATTCCATTGTATTTTCTTCTATTTATTTTTAAAGTGACAGAGCCACTTTAAATGACAATCAACTCTCCCATTATTATGTATGTTTAACCTCCTTATAGAGGAGCTAAAGGGTGCTTTCAGAGAGTCGGCCTGTTTCACACCTGGGCGTTTTGTAGCGCGTTCGAACGCTCTGCAAAACGCTCAAACACCGAAATCCCATTATTTCCTATGGGTATGGTTTACACCTGGGCGTATTACACGCCGTATGAACGTGCTACATATATTCTATACGCCAAGGTGTGAACCCAGCCTAAGAGTTTTCTTATACAAGCTGAACCCTATGTGTACATGCCTTAATGGTAAGCCAAAGTGAACTGACACTCTACCATAAAGCTGGGCACACACCTAAGAACCATCGCAAGACTTTTGTCTTGCGATGGTTGTAAGGTAATTAAAAAAACGTACGATCTGCCTATCTTGGACAGGCAGATCGTACTTGCAATGATCGCAAGCCCGTCCCGCTGAGGGACGGGCTTCCGACGACCGCAATGCCGAACGGGCAGTGTGCGCTTGCGCACACCAGCTGGTCCGGCTTTTATCTTACGAACATGCTACACACCCGCCAAAAATCGCACGATTCTTGGCGGGTTTTCGGACATGTTCGTAAAAAAAAAGTCCTGCGACCTTACAGTAGTAGAGGTCGCACGGCTTCCACACACCTTACGATAATCGTACGATCGCTGGATTTCCCGCGATTATCGTACGATTATCACAAGGTGTGTGGGCACCTTGAGCATTGTGGATTAGTGTCAGTTAGGAAAGAACTTACAAAACATTTAATTTTAGAAATGTAGTGTTCCCCAGCCAGGAAATGCATATGTTTACACAAAGTAAAACCAAAATGCATTTTCCCTTTCAGCTCAAATGGAAATCCCACAAAGTGAACATATAAAAGACAGGCATAATGCACTTGCACAAACTGGCTGGAGAGCTGACGTGTTAAAGTGGAGGAGTGGATCCAGGTGAGCTTACCATCAAAGCTTATTACCAGGAAAACCAAAAAAACTCAGAATGTTTATACTGCTAAAATAAAAAAAGCAAGGATCTATAATGAAGGAGATTCCTAACTTATTTCCATAAATCAAAATTAACTAGAGTTCGTTATTTGCGCTAACTTGAAGACAAGATGAATACAATCGTGTACAAAATATATATATATTAAAATCAGTGCAGAATAATAATAAAAATATAATTGGTGACAATCAAAGAATAAGGATCAAAAATTTCAATCAATTTGATAACACATGTAATGTGTAAAATATAACCACAGGATATTATTCCAAATTATAAATGTAACCAATAAAAAAACTTTTGAAATGCAATGAGTAGCTTATCAGTAGCTCACAGAATAAGGAAACAAAAGGTTCAGAATTGACAAGTGACTTCTCCCAG